CTTTTCCCGCTCCGCTCTCTCCTCTTTTTTTTTTCTTTTCCTCGTCTGTGGAAAATCATCCTCTGGCCTCTCCAAGCATGTCAGTCTATAGGAGAATGTGCTCCAGTGCTTTGACCCTAGCAAAGAGAGGCTGTGTTGGGCAGGGAGAGCTGCTGCTGGGAAACAGCTGCCCTGCACCACCAGCAGCAGCAGCTGCGCAGGGATGGTCCATGAGGCACTGCTAAAAGGCCACCCCTCTGCCTCGTCCCACCCTGCTAGTGATGCAGATTTAAGAGCATTACGGGCCAAAGGGATGGTAATAGCGAGTTGGCTGATTTGTGAAATCTCCTSCACTTGGCTATGAGTTCTCTGTGCCGTGCGAGTTAAGGACTGTGGTGTGTAAGGCTATGTTGGAACGTGTGRGGATCTTTGCTTTAAACTGGCTGGGCTGACTTCTGCACCTTGCTGGGCTTACAGAATATGCTGAGAGTTAGGAAAGGAGAAGCTGGAGGAAAAGGTTTCGCTTGCTGCTTGTGTCTGCCATCCTTCYTTCTTCAGTCATCATCTGCCATAATGGTATTTGGTGGTTTTTCGCTTTGTTCTGATTCTCACATTTTATTTTTTCTGAATCTTTAATATTCTTAGCATTAACTGGTGTACTGCCAAACAAACTGAGGCATTTAAAGGTTGTTGATTTGTGTTRGTTTGTGTGTACGTGATGTTTATGGGAACCCTGGGGCCCGTGGGCCTCTTGTTTACTATCTCCTTTGTTATCTGCTGTGTTCGTCCTGTGCTTGTACTTTTTTCCCTCCTGCTGAGACAAGAAGATCAAAGAGCTGGTTGTCAAGACCTGCTTATGAAACCACTGCGGAGACCTTAATATTCATTATCAATTATGTGCAGTGCTGATAATYCAATAAAAGAGCATATTCCCATACATTGCATCATTATCCTATGGAACTCCCTGCAGCTTAGGTTATTGAGCATGGAGACCTTAGAGGACTTAAACAAGATGATCATTGGGCTTCTATAAGGAGAAGATGTAGTTAAGTTAGCAGGAATAATAGATGTTTTTTGAAAACTGATGTAAGCCTTCATGTATGAGGGTGCATGTCTGACAAGTACATTTCCCCTGCAGTCAAATGACTATATGACTGTCTGCCACCAGACTTCTTGCTTAATCCGCTCAGGCATGTGATTACAGTCACTGTGGGATGTGTGTTTCTGTCTGTGTGATCACAGCTGTATCTCGTAAGGCATTTCCTGTMTAAGTATTAACCTCTCGTGCTGAAAACTGGTATTTCAGAAGATTATTTTAATTAAAAAAAGCATTTTTATTGACTGCATTTTCAATGCTTTTTTTTTTTCTTTTTTAACTTTTGAGACTAACAGAAAACCGCTGTGAAAGTGAGAAGGGAAGTGAAAACAAATTAGAAATTGATTTTACCATGAACAAATAATTGTGTTGTTCTTTTATATTGGAGGAAAGTATTTTGAATGTTGCTTTCCTTTTTTTAAAGGAATCTTTATGCTGACTAGGCTATGTTTTCCATGTAACAATTTAAATAAAAAGTGAAGATCAATAACTATTTTCAGAATTATTGAAAATGGAAATTGAATGGAAGTAAGAGGAGGAAGAAAAAAGATCATTAGTGTAATGATAAAATCATCTGTTCTGGGGGGAAAACAAGTTTAGAGATTTCCTGCAGAGGCTTTTCTAAGTAGATGCCRGTAGATTCCTGAGGCTGTAAGTATCAGGCTCATAATGAACACAGTAATGAACACACAAATGAACCCAGTCCAACTCCCTCTTCCACTCTGTCCTTTCCTAACTCTAAAAACACAGTTACAGTTCATTGTGTTTTGGCAGGCATCTGGCACTGTTGTGGGGCTCCGCTAGTTAGTTCAGTTAGAAGAACAACAGAGGAATGTGTATGCACACGTCTGTTGTGGAGACTTTTTTGTTTTTAGAGTAGTTTGCTAATTTGGTATATAAAAGCTTGAGAAGCAAACCTTTGCATTGGCACTGAGGAAAAGGAGCAAAAGTGTGACCCCTGGCAAGCAGAGCAGGTTAGACTTGATCTTCACGATGTTCACACCATGTCCTCTGTCCCCGTGTCCTCCAAGGAGTTCCTGTGCCCAGCCATGTGGCACCCTTTGGTAAGGACAGGAGCGGGTTGGGGTTTAACTGTGAGCCCAGTGCTTCCTGATCACTTGCTTCAGCTTGCCCTAATAAGCCTCAGCCCTCAGTGTGGAGGGGCGCAGCACACAGCCTGCTTGTGCCGTCCTGCGCGGCCTTCTTGCACGACCCGGCTCCAAGGGGTTGCTGGGCACTAACAAGAACATAAAATGCAAGGTTGTGGAAGTCAACTTGGCCTTCTTACTAAACCTGTGGGTTGTTTTACGCCGGTGGAATTCCATGGGAGCAATGAAATTCATGTTTCTTCTACTCAAAACTTGGCTACAATATWAAATGAAGTTTCAGTGGGAGCTTTTCCTTTTGCCCAGCTTGAATATTCTTCATGATCTGTGCTTCCATCTGAGAAGGTAGCCTGTGGTTCCTCATGCCTTAGCCTGTGTTTTCTCTCTGAATAATGCAGGAAAGCATTGGAGTGTCATTAACTTAGGATGCTCAGGTACGTGCTCCAAATGCAGCACGTTGTTTCATTGCTCCCTAAATAGCAACGCTTTGGATACCGCCTGGAGCACAGCCCTTAGATGGAGAGTGCAAGTTAGTGAAAGTTASGGGAACTTCAGAGGTTGCAGGGTGTATCTGAGTGTTCCCAAAGATCACTCCTTGTTTATGAGCACATTGATGGAAATGTTGTGACAACTTGTGGATTGCTGTGCTTCTCCTCTGGAGGCTGGGAAGATGACATTATAGAAACATCTGACTGTGTGCACTTTCTTTTGTCAGGTACCTGTTTGTGTTGCAGCTCCGGCAAGACATTCTTTCAGGGAAGTAAGTAGCTTTGCTCTTGCCTCTGTACTTAAAAGTATTTACAGTAGATAATGTCTGTGACTTTAAAATGTGATTTCAACTGCACGATCTTTTTGATCCTTTCTGGCRTTCACATATAGATGATAAACGTGTTTTCTCGACAGTGCCAAAGTGTATGGCTTTATGTACTTCATGACTTCTATTATTTTAGAAGGAGAATTAATGGAGTGACCAGGTGATTTGTCCATACCCTGATATGCTGAGTGYTCATCCTGATCATTATAGCAGTGTATTGTTGTTCGTGCCTCGTTCCCTATTTAAAGATCAAGTACTTGTGAGCTAGCTAGCATTAAAGACAGGAGAACAGAATAGCTTTACACAAATGGTCATTCAGAAAGTGCCACAATTGACCCCCACATCCTGATCATRTTTATTTGAATGCCCCAACTGTTGATATTTAAGCTTGCAGTTACTGAGGTAAGAAACAAAGGAGCAAAATAAGGGCATTTAAAGAGAACTGGCAAAGACTGGAACTTCTTGTTTTTAGAACAGTGGATGTTCTGATGCTGACTGATTTGTCCTATCTAGGAAYGGGGATGGGAAACTTCAAATATTTTTTATATGTTTTATGGGAAGTACCTAATCTCTCTTTTTGTCGAGAGAGTTCTTATGTGAAATTATAACCTTGTTGAAAGTGACCTAGTTTTTTTTATTATGTGTCATATAAAAAGGACTTAATTAGCAACAGTTTACGAGGCTTTAAGTATTACATGTAGCTGCTTCTACAAGAGCCTTAGAAGGTTTTAACTTGAAGATTACTGCTGGTAGAAACAGCGTGAGGATAGATGAGAGTAGTTATAGTACTAGATAAATAGACCAAAGAATGTCTTTATTTTATGAGCATTTAAATGTATCTTGACAAWTTTTTTCAGTATAATAAGTTAAAATAGAGGAGGAAAAGATTATAAAGTGGCAGTACTTTTTGTACATGTCAGCTCTAGAAGGTATATTTTGTGTGTTTACTGGACATATTCACCTTGGCCAGTAAGTTCACACCTATTTATTTCTGTGTATAGACAGATATAAAATGAGTTCTAAAATATATTACTGGAGCAAAATAAATTTCTTACTGCTATTTAATATTTTCTGTATTAGTTTAAGCTTGTCTTAAACTGATTCTGAGATTCTGAGAATGTACCAAATTAGGAAATAGACATATGGCTGTAAAAAATAATTTTAGATGATTCATGGCATTAATGGTTTGTGGTGCCGAGTGAYCACGTGGAAGGTAATGTCTCCATTTCTAGTGGAGGTTAATGTTTCCATTTCTAGTGTCATTGTGGGGAGGAGCGGGAGTAAATGGCATCATTTTTATGACTTGTTTGTTTCCTTTTTAAGACTGAAATGCCCATATGAAACTGCCGTTGAACTAGCAGCTCTGTGTCTTCAAGGTATGTATGTTTTTAGAATGCTTTATGTTTATTTTAAGAATTTCCCTGCTACTTTCTTTTCAAATCGTGTTACTGATGAGTTTTCATTGATCATATATCAGTGGTATTCCTTCCCCTAAAAAGTGCTTTAGGGAATTGCTTTCCTGCCTGCCCTGGAASAGCGCCTGCCTCTTGCACAGGCTTCTTGGGAGCCAAGTCATGTGCAGTGTGGGAGCAGGAAGGCAGGGGAGGGAATTGCAGCTACTGAATTATATGGAAAGGGAAGAATGGGAGTGGTTTCTGTCYGCAGCAAGAATTGCAAGATGAAATAATAATAGGTTAATATGTTCATTAGTTGATTGTAGAATCAAAGTAGAGTGGGKTTTTTTTTGCTACATCACATTAATACAAAAACCYTACTCCCTTTCAGATGGTTTGAGTTGCAGATGGAGTAGAGAAACACATAATGAAGCTCAGATAAAGCTATTTTTTTTCTAGAAGAATGCACCGTGATTTGGATCRTTCCAGGCATATCAGTAGCAAAATCTGATCATGCAGATAATTCAGTGCTTCCAGATGAAATTGATAGTAAAAGCTGGGAATTTGCTTCAAACCTGCAACAGGAAGAAATCTTAAGAGTGTGTGTGGGGCGGGTGTGTGTGTGTGTGTATTACTTATTTCTTTTAGTTTGCATTTACATCTCTGTGGCACATCCTGCATTGCTAGGTGTGCAGGGAGCTGCTTGCTGTAGGCAACCTCCATTCCTGTTTTAGAAATGGAGAGGATCTGTATCCCCTGTTTACCTTGATTCATTGCTTCCATTCTTCACAGATAACAACACCAGTAACTTCACCCTGGTCTAGGCAAGGAGAACCAAGCAGAGAATTTTGGGTAGTAATTAATACCTGTAATTACTATGTGAATGTAATACAATAGCTATCCATCATCCATCTGTACACGATAAAGACTTACAAAATGTCTCTAGTTAGCTATCCAAACTAATGTTTTTCAAAGCTGTCTATAGGAATGCATATAAATTATGGTTGCATCTTTTATATTTTTTGCCTCTTCTCAGTTTTGCATAACAATAACTAAATTTTGCAAAAATCTATTGACACTGTGATATCTCTGCTTTCATATGCTGTAATAGGAATTTTTGTGTAACATTTCTTACCTCTGTACTCATATTGGAAGCTTTCAATTAAGCAGAAGTGTTTAAAGAAGCGTGGAATGATTATTCCTTCTTCAGTACTTATATTTACCATTTAAAATCTAATCTTTCTTCTTAATCTGGCATTTCTAAAACGGAGAAGAATCTAAAAGACTGTTAAGGAATTGGAACATTCAACCTTCTGAATTATTTTATTTTTCTTTAAGCTATAACTTTATGGTACAGCTTATTATGGTTTCTTTGTAAAGGAAATTGTTCTGTTAGGTTAATTCTTGCATTGTTTCTACCAGCTTCCTAGGCTGGCGTTCTGTATGAGTAGTCTTTGAAACAGAGCTTGTTTTGTTGCCAGTCCCATAAAGGATTGCCTGTAGAATGACCTGAGTTGGCAGTGTGGCTGCCTCTCACCTGCCCCACTTGGGGTTAACCTGCAGAAAGGCTGCGAGCAAAGAACCTGCCTCATCACTGTTACCATAACTGTTTAGCTCGTTAGTCTTGTGTGGTTCCTCTTTTTGTCGTTAACCAAATAGACTTTTGAAACTGTTAATTAAACCTGAGGGGAAGGTTTTTTTCTCACAGTTTGCAAGTTTTATGATAAGACCTCAATGCAAGTTTTCCCTCTTTTGTGTTAGGGAATCACCAACATATTTACAGATAAACATATGTTTGTACTTCTAAAAAGCTTTATAGTAAACTATATTTCTTTCTAAAAATGTTCCCTGGTTTATGCTATTATTATACTAGGCATCAGAACACAGATGATGACTAGTAACAGTTTATGCAACCTTTAAAAAAGGTTAGGAGGGACAGGAGAGACATTCCAAAGCCTGATAGTCCATGACAAAATTCCAAGGAGAGTGGTGAGGCCCCTGCTCTGCCCTGGCATGGAGAGTATCCATCCTGCTGAGCCACTGGAGGAACTTCATCCCACCAGGAGAGCCACTAGTGCTGCTGGCCATGCAATTCCCTTCTCTTTCTTTCGCTTCTGCCTTTGGGAGGAAGCTCACGTGAATATTGCCAGCTCTTACTCCCAAGACCCATTTCTCAGAGCTTTACTGCTCAAAATGATGCCATAGTTAATTGCCTGAAAGTGAATATACAGCGCAGGTGCAAGGCTGATATTTTTCTTCTAAATAATACATCTTACCTTATCTAGAGAGCTAGAGACCTACGTGAGGGAGATGTAGGATGAGGGAGATGCCCGTGTCTCTCCCGAGCMCAGCAGAATTTGTCAGTGTTGTGTTCCTAGGAAAATTAGTACCAGAACTAAGTAAATCAGTAGAAAGTGCTATGTAATTCAGTAGAAAGTGCTATCTAATTTATCTCCATGCTCCAGTATTTTTTTCTTAAAAATTACTTCAACCATGTATTAGAATGTTGAGGGTTTAAAAAAAAAAAAAAAAACCCTATCCCAAGTTTCTTGATACATTAGGTAAAATCTTTGTGTTTTGACATGTGCACTAATACAGCAAGGCAAGCAACAGGATGAGAACTGCTTCTGGAATGAAAAGTGCAACCTTGGTGCAATGAGAGGAAGCTTCAAAGTAACCTCTTCTGAACAAATAATGCATTGAATTTTAATAGGAACTTTATTTTCTTTAAAAGCTATAAAATGCAGAAAAGAGCTGAAGTTTTAATTGTTAGAATTCTGTACTAATTCCTGCAAATGATTTCACCTGATTTCTATGTTAAAGCTTCTTTTTCTTTTTTAATTTGGCTCTTTTTTTTTTTTTAACTTGCACATTAGCAAAATTCTCTTCTGGGACGCATTTCAGAAAGTTACTATCATTGCCTAGTGGAGGTTATGGAGTTAAATGTTTGTGGTATTCCCATGATTTTTATGATTTTTTAACTCTTTAATTATAGCTGAGCTGGGAGAGTGTGAACATCCTGAGCACACGCCAGAGCTGGTGTCTGAATTCAGGTTTGCCCCAAACCAGACGGAAGCAATGGAATTTGACATTTTTCAGAAGTGGAAAGAGTGCAGGTACAGTACAGCATAGGAACAATGTTCAGCAACAGGATATTTTCTTGCTCTCCAGACTCAGATATGTCCCCAAGACCCCTTCAGCAAACACAGATGAACTTTTCATGTTTGTGAATGGAGGAGTTTTCTAGGCAGTAACTGAAAATCCCACTCCAGGAAATGGCAAGCCTTAATCTGGGGAAGATTGGGTAGGGATTGGATAGGGACATGGGGTTCGTTTTCTGTGGTTAGGTGACTTCATAACACAAACAGATTCTTTCTTGTTTGCGTTTTATTCAGTGGTCCCATCTTAGCTGTACACTCATCTACATTGGCAATTTCAGATCTGTTTCAGTTATTGCGCCCTTTGTTTTATTTTTACTGTGAGGAAAGAGGGTAAAAACCTAAATTAAACCTGAAACTTCATTCAGTAGTCTCTTTCTTCTTAACATTGAGGGCCCAAAATAAAAAAAAGTATGGAAAGGAATTTTAAAGCAGCCAAAAGTTTTATATTGTATACTAAAATAAATGTTACATTACAGGGGGAAGAGCCCAGCGCAAGCTGAACTGTGCTACTTGAACAAAGCTAAATGGCTAGAAATGTATGGTGTAGATATGCATGTAGTTAAGGTGAGATCTGTGTGATATTGTATTTTGTGAATGGGCTCCCAGAAAACAGATTTGCCTTAGAATTGCACTTAATTTATTGCCAACTAAGCTTTTAATTACTGATTAGGGTATTGAGGGGGGGGGGAAAAAGAGACAATTAAACATTTAGGGATATACTTTTCCTTACAGTCCTTACCTTACCTTACAGTCGAGCATCTCTCCTTCGTCTTCCTAGGCTGAGCTCCCTCTCTTTTCACTGCACTTCAGATTCAGTCTTTTCCAATCTCTTGAGTGCAGTGATGAGTGGCTCGGTGTGCTGGGATCAACACGTAATGGTTTCTTGCTGTCACTCCTTGCTCCTTTCCTCTGCTGCTCCTGGTTTTTACATCTCCTCTGTTCCAGGAGCACCTCTGGGCCACAGTCCCTTCAGGATATCCTTGCTCTGATGTACGTCGCCAACAGGCCCAGTCTCTTGGAGCTGTCCCTGTTCTTACAGAGCGCCTCCTTCCAACAGTGCTTCTCCGGTCATGTCCCCAGCAACATTCCCTTCCACGTGCCCCCTCCCATGTCTCCTCACATTTTTCCTTTTGTCTCCTGCCACTCAACTGCCTTTGTTTCTTAAATATGTCTTGACATAGGGAGCTATTTTCATCTGTCCTAGAGCTGGCTGGAAAGGGCTGTGAACAGCCCAGGGCCTCTTCCCACACAGTGCACCCCTGCTATGAAAACCCTGCCAGTTAGGCCTGTGTATATTCTTCTGCTCTGTATACTATTTAAACAAGAGAAAAAAAGAAAAAAGAAGTAAACTTTATAGYCTAAAATATAAGGGTTTTGAGATACTGCCGTAATAAGTTCTGCAACGCGAATTTCCTGTGCTTGTTTGCAGGGAAGAGATGGTTGTGAATATGCTCTTGGACTGACACCAACAGGCATATTGATCTTTGAAGGAGCAAACAAAATAGGCTTATTCTTTTGGTAATCTGCTTGTCTTATAATACCTTTTGTGAAAATGTTGAAACTTCCTCTTTAAGTACTGAATCCTTGACTATATCTTGTAACATAGATTGAATGTGCAAAGTTCAAATAGACTGGAGGTGGATTGGCCTGTTTAGAAGTGCCAATCTCAAATGTGGAAATATGTACTGAAAAGCAGACACAGTGCCTGGAAATTGTACTTTTATTCTAATCCCTAAAGTATTCCAGGATTGTAAGTCTCAGATGCATTTTAAGGGGAGGGAGAGTGGTCCTGGATTATAAAGTGCTGGAGATGCATTGATTTTCTGTTTGCTTCCTCCTGTGTTTAGGCCTAAAATCACAAAAATGGACTTTAAAAAGAGCAAACTAACGCTTGTTGTTGTAGAAGATGACGAACAGGTAACTTTCTTCCCTTACTTGGACCTGATCCAGCAAAGCGTGCAGTGTGAGTGGGCTGAGGAGGATACAGAGGGCACTGAGCATGSTGTTGGACCAGGCTGTCCTTTGCTTACTGTGGGCAAGGACTCATGCCATGCGTGCCAACTTGCAAAGCTTTTGTTTCTGCATTTAGGGCAGAGAGCAAGAGCACACGTTTGTTTTCCGGCTAGACAGTGCCAAGACCTGCAAGCACTTGTGGAAGTGTGCAGTGGAGCACCATGCCTTCTTCAGGCTGCGAGCGCCGGCAAACAGTAAATCGAGTAGATCCGACTTCATAAGGCTAGGATCCCGCTTCCGATTCAGGTATTTGAAGTACAAACAGCATATTTGTGTATATACGAACCAACAGCCACTGACCAAAGGCAGTGATTAACATATTTCATTTTTGTATTTTAAGTGGGCGGACGGAGTATCAAGCGACACATGGGACAAGATTACGGCGAACTAGCACGTTTGAAAGAAGGCCCAGCAAGCGATATCCTTCCCGAAGGCATTCAACTTATAAAAGTAAGTGTTCGTGCGTATGGTCCCGGTACTGGTCATGTAGCTGTCATGTTAACATAAATAAATGGTGACTTGACTATAAATATCATGTTACAACCATAAAATCTGTATCATGGTATAGGGAGAAGGCACCTGAAATGTCAAAGCTGACGTGTTTTTTCCACCCAAGTCTGTTTGTTTGTACCTGCTGCTTTTAAACTGTGACCGTGCTTACTCTGTCCCCTGAGTTACTGGGTGATTTCATTATTCCGTTGTTTCTGCTTTCCTGACTCTGATGGCATAATAGCCCAGCTCTGAAATGTAACCAGCTCTCTCTGGCTGTTAAATATGCAGAATTTGCACATTGGCAAAGGATTGCTTTCCTCTTACGGTTTTATCACTTTATGACTTAAGCTGGGATTTTTATTCCGTGTAGGAAAACCTAGCAATGCACTTTCCAAGACACCCCTCTGAATTCTCAGTTATTTGAGGCAGGATGTGGGGCTCATATGTGAAGCAGGGTGAGCTGCCATTCCGTTAAGATGTCCTTGCTTTCCCATGCATCCCAAGATCATGAGTCTCAGTTCCCAGGAACATTCTTGGTGGGGGTGCTGTGGGAGCACTTCTCTCTCCTGCTCCTGTACAAGGCGAGGAGGAGGGAGATGTGGGCTTTCTGGGGGTTGTAAGCCCCCCTTGCCTTTGTATACCATGGGTCTGTTTGTTGCAGAAAAGCAAATTTATTTAAATTTGAGAGGTACTCTTACATGATGCGTAAGAGTCAACTATATGGTAGATGTGGAGATTTCCTATGTAGAAAAACAGACTAAACTACACTGTTAAAATGTCAGGACCTGTCAGATTCCGTGTGTACCTTGTGTCTCTGTGCTTTGGTGCAAAGACATAAAGCTGTGAGGTGGAGGTGTAAGGGAGCGTGTGGTCGTGCTCTCTTTACCTCCAGCATAGCAGCCAGGCAGACCTTGTGTTGTACCCAGCTGGTGAAGCTCCTCCTCTCCTGACAAGTGTTGTTCACTTAGTTCCAACATTGGCACGTGGCATAGGATGTTCTCTTACTGGGAAGTATAAAAGCTGTCTAAAAGGCTTCTTTTATGCTTGATTATCCATTAAAAATGCAGCTCCCTCTGGAACGTCCAACAGCATGCTATTCAAACTCGTGCAAACGCTCCCTTTAAATTGCTCTCCCCCATCCCCACAGACCATTACGACCTGCTCCTAGTCGCAGCCCAGAGCTGCTGAGTTGTGCTGCAGATCTGGGTATCTTTGCCTGTGCTTCTGCAGCATCATGCTAAGTCTGTAGCCACATTCTGCATTCAGCACAACTGTGGATTCTGAGCTGGATCACTCAGCAGCTTTCAGTATTCTTCCTGAAAATGTACTTTCTATCGGGAAGAAGACATGATAAAGGCCAGGTATTCAACTGCTGCCTTGGTCGCTCTTTCTAACCGCTCCAAAGCACACGCTGAGATCTTGAAACTGAAGACTGCTTTCCCCTGTTCCCAGTTGGAAGGCTCTTCTTTGCCGTCATGGTTCACTGCGGTAAGACATAGGCCACTCACTGCTTCAAGAGCAGTCTGATTTCGGAAAGATGCAAACTGGTTGTGAGGGCTACTTTCTGTGGGACGCAGTGCTATTGGTGTGGCAGCTGTGCCCAGTTAAGGCCAGTGCTCTAGTTGGGCAGAATTCCCTCTGCCAAAAGCCCTTCCTTTCTGCTGTTCTGAGAATAATGCTCATCTGCCACCTGCGACGGTGGCCCCCGTGGACCTTGGCTTCTGCTGAAGCAGAGCGAGGTTCCTGGCTGCCTTGTGCTTCGTGCTCTTCCATGAGAGCGTTAGAAAGCGCAGCGCCGACCTTGCGGTCCTCTCATGTTTGCTCAAATGTGCCTGAACGAGGCTACCCTTGGGCTGTGACGTAGCTTTCCAGTTGCAGTCGCTGTAAAATGACACTTCTGTTGCACATGTTAAGGTGGTTTATTCTGTTTTTGTTTTTAAGCAAACAATCCTGTGAAAGCAGCACAGCTGTGGTAAGTAACTGTGCACTCTGCCTTTCAAATACTATTGTCAAGCAAAAATATTTTTAAAGACCCTGCTTCTGCATCAGGATTTGTCAACACCAATTCTCTGGTGTGGGATGAATTGCTTCGGGATCTGTTTTTATGCAGCACCAGATTCTCCTTGGGGGCCTGTCTGTTTTCTAAATCTAATTTTTTGTGTATTGGGATCAGACTAAAATAAATCATACTTTGTTTCTGCTCTTGTTGCCACTATGCTAATTTCTCTAGCTTCGTAAGTGTAAAACAAAGAATAGAGTTCCCCCCCGCCTTCTTACACCCTAACCGATGTGAATTGAGAATAAGCTATTGGTATTCTTAAATAATAAATAGGAAATCAGATTTCAACTTGAATGTAATACTTCCTTAGAGAATAGAAACTTCAGCTATAAGAAATTGTGTTATGGATGTTTTTGTAAGAATGCCCTGGTAGTGTTTTGGCTGTGCCGTTGAGTGTAATGGGATAATCTGAAGAAGCCTAATTCTTCTTTAGCTCTTCAGACATGTGTCCTCACTCATGCAACTGTCCAGTTTTAAACAGACTTGGCAGGATTCTGCTAGGAACAGGTTTTGCTTTGGATACTTACAGAATCAAGACTTGATTTTTTTTTTTTTCTAAGTAGTAATCTAAATGGCATTTTTATGTGTGCCTTTGGTGCTTGTCAGTGTTGATTTCATAAAAGCTATTTCTTTTCTTCTCTTAGTGCTAAAAATACTCCAGAAGTCCATAACTACCAGGTAAGCATAAAAATTATTTGGGAGAATATTTACTTTAATGGTAAATATTGCTGCTACCTATAATTAAGACTCTGCTTTCATCCCAACTGCGTATGACCATGAGAACATAGTCTGAACATTTTTTTTTTCTTTTTGCCTTTAATAAAAGCTCCACGAGGGATTTTGGTTCAATGTGTCCTGTCAATACCTGTGGATATGAGAGAGAAATGCCATCACCCTAGACAAGTGACCTTCTAAAGACTGTTATTAGAAAAATAACCTTTCTCACTCTCCACCTTTGATTAAAGCTGATGCTTTTTGGCATGCACTAGATAGGCCAGACCTTCCCCCAAACCTGAAAGAGTGTGGGGGGGTGGGTGTTTTAGTTTTCGATTGTTGTTTTTCTTGTGTGTGTTTGTGGGTGGTTTGTGGTTTTGTTTTGTGTGTTTACACATGACTGTCTTCTAATGAGCAAGTTCATCACCAAGCAATCTCCTGTATATGTTGCACTGAACAGAAGGCAGTCTGAGACAGTGCTTCTGCGTCCAGGGCTCCCACACAGCATGTTGGCCCCAGAAAAAAATATAAAAGTTTCAAGTTAATCGGGAGTTTCCGTATAATTTCATTAACAAGGTTTAATATTTTCACTTGTAGCCACAGTATCATCCCAATATTCATCCTGCTCAGCCACACTGGCATCCTCATACACCTGTAAATGTAAGGTAAGCAACCTTCACTTCATACAAAAATGCTTCTTTATCTTTCTTTATCTTAACCTATTGCTGTGAAACTTGGGTGTATTGGGTAATTTTATGCGCAGGGAAACCAGGCAAGTTACAAATGTCTAATGTAGAGGCATCATTAAATAACATCAGTTTAGATTTTTCTTTGGAAAGTTCTAGTCACATTGATTTTTTTTTCACGTTGATTTTTAATTCGAGTTATTTTTTAATTAAAATGTAACTTTTTTCCATGAAATATGGACATAGAGCAGTTGATCAAGAGATTTGCAGGTAATGTTAGTGAAATTATTTGTGCCAGTGAGGTTTTTTGAACTCTCTTACAAAAATTTCTTACAAAAATACTCTGTATGTGCCTTCTATCTTGCAGTGTATTTTTTTAGCTAGCATTGAGAGAAATTAAGTGAGTATAAATTTGGAGGGGAAAAAAATAGTCTAAGTTAGAAGCAAACACTTATTAGGCAAAGAAGCTGACATTCTGTGATCTTGGAGTTCATAGTATAGAGCAGGAAAGTAGATATTGAAAGTATGTGAGAAACAGTAAACTGTTTAAATTGGCYGAGTTAATGATCTTACAAACCTTCAAGGTTTGGTTAGAATCTTTTTTAAAGCTTTCTGTTTATGATACTAGTATGTAATACTTTAAACACCTTGCTCTGGAGCAGAGCAGTGCTGAAAAAAGCACAATTTTGTGTTATAAGCCTGTTCTCTGCTACTTACCTTCCTCTCTGCCCCATCTCCACACCCTGAAGATCTGCAGGTCAGTGAAATATGAACAAATATGGCTTTTTTTTAACCAAACCAATAAGTCTAAAAGCCTTCTTCTGAAAGAATCAAATGTGCAATACCAGGTTACATGTGTTTTTTGGCTAAATGATTTGTGAGATCAAATGTGGAATTGTGCCTCAGTCTTCACATTAAAATATTTTCAGTGAAATTACGTGCTTGCAGTTAACACAAGTATAATCTTGTGAGAAAATTGATTGCAATCAATAGTTCTCATTATATAGCTTTAGAACTGTTTGCTTATGTTTCCTCATTATATAGCTTTAGAACTGTTTGCTTATGTTTCCTCCAAAGGAAGTGACATATAAACTTTGCTTTATTTCCTCCAGCATCTAAAAATAGTACCAACAGAAAGTGCAACTTAAGTGTGGTAAAAGGGGAATCTTAAGTGTTGTGATTTCTTTTTTATTTTTTTTCTTCCTGCAAAATTACTTCAGGAGATGCTGTAGAATCAAATTAATATCTCTAAGTGCAAATAAGTAATGAACAAATGAGGAAAAACTATTTTTCCTCTCAGTACTTTAGCAGGTTTCAAGGCATAGTCCAAGCAAAATACCTGCACTAACTGTAGGCTGCCAAAGTTCAGCTTCACAAAATGTGGCTAAATAATTTAAAGGCTGCTTCAGTGTAATTAAMTGCACCAGTGTGTGTGAATGGCAGTATTTACAGAAGGGCATTTTTTTCCTTAGGATTTCTGGGTTTTTTTGTTTTTGGTTTTTTAGTTCAAGACCTTATGGATATCTGTTCATGAATTCAACTTTTTTGCATATTTTTATTTTACTTGTTTATTATATTAGGTTTTTCTGTAGCCTCATGCTCYATTTTTATCATCCCTCTGGGGTTCAGGAGCAAAACCAGAGAGGTTTTACATGGCTGAGTTATGATTCAGAGCCTTTGGAAAGCAGAAAAAAAAAAAATCAGTTGCTTAAGGGGATTCTGCATCAGAATCTATCATCATCCTATAGGTCCATCACCATTCCCTCCCTTGCTGATCGCTGTCTGTCGCTCCCTACACACGCTTAGCAGTTGCTGGATGAACTCATGTTACTGTGTATCACTCACAATGTACTTCCATCTCTCACTAACCATAACCATGCCAATGGTCCAGGCCACCCTATCATGATGACAGGCCATACTGGAAACCCCCCACAAGTGGAGAGGACAGCAATTTACGGTATATCCAAGAACAGAACCAGAAGAATTTAGGAGGAGTCCACAGTCTGGTGTACCAAGATAAACTCATGACGACACTCTGAGGGAGTCATCACCACTTCACCTGCCATCTTAGACGATCGTTACATTCCATGGTCCTTGTGTGTCTGCAGTATGTTCACAGTGCATTGTGCATAATGTGTGTGTCTTTATATGTACATCCATCCTTGTTCAGTGTCCATGGACGTTCTTGGGAAAAGCGTTTTCCATATTTTTGTGAGAAATCTTGAAAGAACTGTGGAAACTGATCGGAATTCTCAGTGCCTCAAGATCGGATATACTATGGGATTTGCATTCTTCCATATTCTTTCAATCTGATGGGAGCATCTGCTTGCTGCTGAGCACAGGCCATGCACGGCTAATCATTTTTAGCTTCCTCTTTCTTTTGAGTCAAATTAATAGATGAAGTTTGAGTGACTTCWTTTTTCAGTTGATAAGTGAACAGGAGATTGGGGGAGGAAAATTCATGATTCAAATTGGCAATCAAAATGGTTTGTGGACCRGTGGCAAAGGGCACAGGCTGAGATAGTAGTAAGTTGGGGCTTCTTCTATCTTTTTGTTTTCTGCAACAAAATTAAATGTGCTTGCCTAACTTTCCCCAAAAAGTGTAGGGAAAAACACTATAAGAAAATGTATAGATCATATCTATTACATTCGGACTCGCTAATTATATTGATAGCGTCCCCCCGAAACCATGCCTGCTGCTATAAATTGCAAGAATGTTGAAAATGAGTCCTTGCTATAAGGGTGCTGCTGTCATCTTATTTTTAATGTGATTAGGAAAGTTGAACCRTACAATTTCATAAAACTCTAACTTCTGAAGACTTTTGAGAGGATTCAAAAAAGTGATCACAGTCGGCACACTGCAAGAGGATAATGATCCAGTGAAATAGCTCTATTTTTTTTAAGCTAGATTTTTTTCAAAGTTGAATGTACATTTTACAAACCTAGGTCTTTTAATAGGCTTAGCTGATACTTTGATCACTTGCCTATCTTTTTGAATCTGGGAATCATAGTGCCATCTTTATTCATGCTTTTTGTTTGAAATTGGCCTTAACATCTACAGTCTCTGAAGCTATTGGAATCATGAATCTTTATTTAGAATATTTTAGAATGAWGTAGTTTTTAACTTGATTTTGATAAATGTACGTTTATATATGGGTATGACCCTGAATTTTTTCAGTGCAAATTTGATGGTATGTATCTTTTTGTAAAATATATTTGTTTACAGATGCTATCTTTAATATTTGTTTTAATTTCTCCTGTATGTGCTAAGTACAAATAAAAATTCTCAGCGTTCCTGTTCTGATGCCTTATTTATTTTTGGAAGACTTGGATGGGAGGGTTGGTAGGACTCACGCAGGGCCGCGTTTGTTCCCTTTTCCCATGGGCTCTGTAGGGCCTGCAGGGCGGCAGGAGGGATGGAGCAGCAAGGCCCCAGCAAAGCTGCACTTTGGGAACAACAGCCTCATTTGGCGCTTTGAATGCCCTCCGGAGTGCCCTTGGTTGTTTTTTCCCCTTTTTGTTTGTTTGAATAGTCCTGTTAGTGGAAGTGGAGTGTTATTCATGACTCACGCACCTATGCTGCTAATGTAGTGTAGTCCTTGTTGTGTAACTCCATTTGCTTCTGTGTGGCTTGTTCTCAGTGTGTGTCTGTCTCGCGTGTATCTGTGGCTTGGTTTCCCGCTGAAGATGCGCTGAATGAGCAGTCTTGCTGACAGAGTGCAGGAAAAGCCAGCCCGAGGCCTGACCATCTTTAAACATTCAAATGCCTCGTCCAGGAGGTCTGTGGAACAGACCATCCTGTGGAATTTGTGCTCTGCGGTTGGTGCGTGTCCCCTCGAGGGAAATGCGGGTCTTCTCTGGAGAAGAAGCTCGTGCACTTTCYACTCCCCTCCTAGTTTTTCATTCCATATCCTCCTTGGTATCTGCAGGTATCTGTACCAGCAATGCAAGCAGGTAACAGGACAGCTTCTCTGTCTTTCCTTACTCTGGTGGTAGTGGCTTGTAGTAGCTAACAGGCCTGGGTGTGGTTTGGAAAGGGGTGCACCTTTTTTTCACCTGTTTCTGCTGTAACCCCAGCATTGCTCTGACTTATGCAGCTGGCATCAGCCAAGCAATGATGGGCATGCATACCCCTGCAGTGAACTTCATACAAATAACTTGTTTTAGGTTTTGTTTTGTTTAAAAAACTTATTTTTTCATAAAAATAGCACAATAGTGACTTACGAAGTACCGAGRAAGTTCTGCCCTGATATGTCAATACTATATCTCTAGATTTATGCTGCTGCAGAAAGCCTCTCGTAGTTTATAGAATCACAAACTCAGTACAGAGCCTTACCAKCCTTGCTATGTAAGAATTTTTACATTATATGGAATTATTTTAACTAGGAATTTCCCATGAGGAAATGCTACACTATTTTTATACCATTTTTGGAACAGGAACATGTTATACAACTATTGTACAGTCATAGAAATAACCCATCTTGTAAGTATACATGGAAGCTGCTTTAAAAGAAAGCCTTGCACCCTCTGCCTTAAAGCAAGYATTGCTTTTTCAGTCAAATGCAGCATGTTCTTGGGAGTGCCCACTGAACTGTTAATGTAAACTTTCCCCACCCAGTTCTGAAGTCTATTCATTGTGTAAGTCTAAAATCTTCTTTTTACCAGTCTAGTGTGCCCTTAGAAACTCTTCTGGAGTCTGATTACAGATGATAAATATGTATCCTTGCTTCAACTAAGCAAACTTTTCTAGGGAGGGTATGAGTGCAGTGCCAGGCATCTGAAAACTATGTTGATGAGAAGTCTGGTCGATGAGAGGCCCCATTCTTCCATCTGCTGGAGAATTGCTTGATATATCTTGGCCAGAGGCATCATCTGAACCTCTCTTTGCATGCCTTCCCCCAACTGCTTTAAAAATGGGAATCTAATTCTTCCTTGGCATGACTCAGAGTTGGCTCTGTTTTGCAATGGGGCTCTTTCTA